GCACACACACACACACACACATACACACACACACACACACGCGCGCGCGCGCGCGATAAAGGCCTACGCGATAAATCGTATAAATAATTTTTCGCAAAGTTGGCGCGTCGCCCGGTCCGCTTATTACTGTTAATGTATTCGAAATTCTCAACTTTTTCGCGGGTGAAGAGAAAGAGGTGGAAAGAGGGTTAACGAGGAGGGAGACCTTTCGGTTTAACGATAGCTCGACTACAAAACGCAACGAGCCTCGGACGTTCGGTGCGCGGCGAGCCACCGTTAGATTAGGTCAATATTTGGCTCGTTTACGCGGGTAACCGGGTCAAGGATTTGCCGCCGCCGCCGCCGACGTCGTCGCCGAATGCGTCTGTCGTTCCGATAACGTTTATTATCGATGTACAATCTCTTCTCTCCGCTCCCTCTTCGCGCCCTTGTCGCACCTTTAGTTGGGTTTTCAAAGTCGCGCTCGTCGCGGACGAAGAGGACATCTCAGGAACGTCGCTCGTTCATTTCGCATTCGAGCGGAATTTTCGCTTCTATATCGCGTTCTTTCTTTTTTTATTATTATTATTTATTTATCGAGAGTTCTTTTTATTCATCCGTAGATCGCTGTGAATATCTGGCGACGGAGGCTGGGGGTGACTTCTTCGCTCCCTGTTCGGACCTGAGCCATTCGCGCTCGCGATCGGGATTCAAAAGGGGGTTGTTATGGGACTTAATAGGCTGCAGTATTTCCTCGGCCTTAACCGTAGCCGGTCTGAAAATACGCGCGATGGCGAATCGGTGGCGGATCGAGCGACGAGCGGTCGAGCTGACCTAGAGATGTCACTGGGTTAGCGTGTTCATGGGCCATCCATAATCTCCCGATGATAGCCGGCGATACACGCTCGCTTTTACCCTGTCATAGGGACGAGATTGCAGCGTCGAGTCCGACTGACCCTCTCGCGTGGTTCGTGGCGCGTTTCTGATCCGCAGCGGCGAAATGCGCGGGTCGACAGTTCGCTATCTTGGGAAGGTGGGGGAAAACTGCTCGTCGAAGTGGCCGTGGTATTTCTCCTTGATGATAATTCTCCGAATATACGTCTGATAAAGTCCCTTCCTTTGGGATTATTAAAAAAGCTTCTCGGCAATTTTTTTCGAACGAGACCACGATGACACGTTCAGCGAATTATTTTCGAAATCCCATCTCGTCGAGGAAGAGACGCGTCTCTCAGACACCACCGCACACCTCGATATAAAATTGAACGCACGAATACTTCGAGTACAAATCGTTCACCCGGGTGAGCGAAGATGCAAACAATGCCGCGGTCTCCATTCTTGTTCTCGAGCGCAGGCAATAGAAAATCCCGCGAGGCGAGAGAAAAATATTCGTGCGCGCTATTTTCGCGGGGGTTCTTTCAGAAATGCCGGTATCGAGTCTCTCTGTACGGTGTGCCCGAACTACTTGACGTATTCTCAATCGCCGAAGTGGAGATGATTTCTTCTTGGCGAAAACAATATCAAGAAAACACGTCGTTTATCTTAACAATTTTTAATGTCGCGTGCATTTTTATATTAAAATTCTATTAAACGGAATTTCAATATAAAGCTCTTAGGAATGCCCACGTTTTATTTGAAATTGCTTGAATACTACCGCGTCGTTCATTTTTTTCTTTAAGTTTATGTTATTTAAAATTTTTTTTTTTTTTTTTATTAATATAGCTCCTTTGCGTAAACTACGTAAAGACATTTCTTCATGGAATATTTTAAGTAAAAATATTAAATATATTTAAAACGTTTTTCTTGAAGGATAGGAAAAGAGCGCATCCTTTAGGACTATCCCCCGTATTTTCGATCGCTCGAAAATTACGAGCGCCCCGACATTTTCGTCGTAAAGGAAAAAAATCGATTCCGCATGTCGGCTGGCGAAATCTCTTTCCGCCGAGTAGGACATCCGGATTTCTTTTTTTTTTTCGGCACACCCGGTGCCGGGCTGCGCCGACGATGCATATTTCGTCGAGCAGCCGGCCGGTCTCGTCTCTCACCCCTCGCCCCCACGGTAATTTCCTAAATGTCCGCGCCGCGAAATTCAGCGGGCCGCAGTGCAGCCAGCCAAGCCGAGCCAGTGACGCCCTGACCTTTCGTTTCTCGGTCAACGATCGTCCGTGTGTCTGTACCCGCGCACGTATACGTATGTATATGCGCGCGTATACACACACATAACGTGTGTGTACGTGTGTCTGTCTCTAATAACGAAAATTCGCAAACGTTCGTCCGCCCGATCGTCGAGCCGTCGCTCTTGGAATCCTTAAAGAGACGTCCAATTTAAGGGTGCCACTTGAACGAAAGTAATTTGCACGAGAATAGAACGAGATTCGCTATTTCGAAACGGACGATAAGAACAATCTTCAAGAGCGCTTGAATTCTTTTAATTACAGAGCGTCGATCGCACACCACCGCACCACCCGTGGCCGGCGTTCTGCGATTCGCGCGCGCGTCACGAGACATCGTTCCGCGATTTATTCCATTCCGCGGTATATCCGCCGCGGATCCTCCCCGTTCCGCACGGGGATGGAATCTACTTCTTCCGCGCGCTCCTCACGGTATCTTTTATCCGTATCTATATGTGCGGATTCCACGTCGCTGTCGCCGGGGTTAAGGCGGATATACAGACGGACGACTGGAATTTCAATAAACGCATATATATATATATATATATATATATATATTATATATATA